GCATATTTGCCTCCTAAACTGTTGTATTCTGAGCACCTTGCAAAAACAGGATTTTGTGTGAGTTGTGGTGATGAATGGTGTGAATGATGTTGAAAGCTTTTCTTTTTGGGGATTTTCTTTCTTTTTTGGGTACACGCCTCGGTGGGAGATCGAACGACTTGTTAAAAAAAAAAAAATAAATGATATAAGATGATTTAAATGTCTGTCACACCAAATATTATTATACCACATTTACGAAACCAACATCATTATAAAACTCCATTCAATTACAAGTGCTTATCAGATTCCGATGGGGTTAGTTTCCGATAGAGAACCATCATAAGTTGAATATATCGTTTAAGTCGAATATGAAATATGATGTGCTATAATATTTTTTTTTAACTCGTCAGTCATCTCCCTCTGAGGCAGGGTAATCCAAAAAGAAAGAAAATCCCCAAAAAGAAAATACTTTCATCATCACTCAAACACTTTCTCACACTCATACATATTCATCTGTCTTATGCAGGGCGTCAGATACGGACAGTTTAAAAACTCAAAACCTCCAAACGCCAAATTCCAAACCCCTCTCATAGGTGCAGGGGTACATTGTACTTCCCATTTCCAAGATTCAAGTCCGGCTAACAGGTTTCCTTGAATCCTTCCACAAAATAAATATGTAAATAAATAACTACTGTTACTGAATAAATGAATAATTAATGTTACTGCCAGGGAATTGAAAAGTACAAAAATGATACAAGTTGAGATTTGCCCCTTCATGCTGGGTAATTATCTCAAGTTTATCTAAAAAGTAATGCTTTTGTCCATCGTAAAGTCAAAAACTTGTAAGTTGAACCATCTGAGCTGAGGGAAAAAACCTATTATAAAAAGATTTCCCCTAAAATTCCAAGACCCTGCAGGCACCCTCGTTAATGGGGAAACCGCCACAGTAGGGGGTCAAAAAATTCTGTGATGATTCTGATGATTTTTTCATTTGCAAACGGGCCTGGTTAAGTTTCTTGGGTCCCGCCAATCACCCAGGTCTTACAGCCCCCCCGAGTCAGGTCACAAAGCTTTCCCAAATTCGGCAAACATTTTGAAAGGGCTTGTCCACAACTGAAAGTGTGCCCATGGCTCAAGGTGTATTTAAACCCTGTGTATATGGGGACGTGTAGGGTTTCATCTAAATTCAATCACGTTCAAAATAAAATTAACAAACCCTGGACTTTTAAAAACCATTACATACAATTAGAGTGAATGCTTCTTTAAGGGTCAGCGTCCAGTTTTTATAATTAAAAATCTTCATTGATCTGAAAACCTCTCTCTGCTCCATTTTTGGAGATGTCTTGGTTCAATCTTCTTGTCCGTTTTAAAAATTCCCTGGGGACGTAGTCACCTCGAGAAAGTAAAAATCATTATATTAAAAAGTAAACAATAAATCAAAACGGGGCATACCGCTGTATGAAACTTCACTTTGAAGCTTCAGAAATACAAAAATTTTTAAATTATGTCATCTTTTATTATTTTCGGTGTGATGACATACTGACTCCGAGCTCAATCAAGAACGCTTATTATTTTTTTCTTTTGTTTGTTTTTTTGGAAAGTGTTTTTGTACTAATAAACAATAGTGTAAGCATGTTTTTAGGCTTTTATATAGTGGCAAATTAAAAAAAAAGCTGCAATTTGCTTTGCGGCAGCAGTCTGGAACCTAACCCACCATACAGCGAGGTATGTCTGTATTGGTCATACAGTGCTTCATTCATTATTACTTCATGAGCCATGCTAAACCCTGTAGTAATAAGCCCCGGGGCCCCTGGGGACATTGTGGTTAAAATCCAAGGAGAAAGCAATATAGTGCTAATGAAAGAATAGTGAGAATGAACATGGCTTATATGAGATCCTTGATTATGCTGTACCAATGCTAATGTTATCTAAAGAAAATTCACTTTAGCTCTTGTATCTAATGCAAAATTAAGAACTCAGAATTACTCATCCTTTAAAAAATTAAAAAATTTTGTTAATTGGGAAAAGAGTTTGGCTTTCAGTATCAGTTTTAAAAAACTGAGCCTAGAACTTTAGTAGTTTTAAAATTTTAAAGAAATTAACCAAATACTGTCATACAAATCATCAAAAGGGGGAAAGTTTTTCCAGCCAGGGCTTCTTGGGCCAATGCAAAAAGAGTGTAAGATGGATGGATTTTGAGGTAATCAGCCCTCAGTCTAGAATCAACTCCAGACCTCAAACTTCTATTTCCCCCTTTTGCTGCATGGACTGAAGAAGCCACTGGGGGTAAAAACATTTGAAAAAAAAAATACCAAATGCGCCATGTGTCTCTTTAACAACTTGTCAGTTTCTAAACCTTTTTTTCAAAAGGGTTATTTTGTTTACAAGTCTACTGTATTTCCCATTAAATACACAGGGGTGATGATCAACTAAATCAAAGTATCCAGCTCACCCTTATGGTTACTCGAACATTATGGGGTTGCCCGCCCACTTAGGGGGGAACAGACAGAAATAGTGAAAAATTTTAAGTGTTGTCAAGGTAATTTTTTTATTAATGAAAAAAGAACCAGATTTTTAAGCAGATTTTCTAAATTTACTTACAACAGATAAATATAAATTGTAAATATATGGCTGTTAACCCTTTGGGACTAAAATCTAGGCCTTTTGCTTAAATTGGTCCTGGCCTATTATTCAGAGGAGGGAAAATGGGTACAAAAAAATAGCCATTTTAGTCCAATCTAAATCTAATTTGATTTTCAAAAAAAAAGGCAAAAAAGGCCAGTTCTATAGCATAGACTTAAAATAACCCATGCACCCAGCGAAAAAAAAACAGACATGTTAAAGGGGGTAGACCAAAAAAAAAGCAGTTCAACAATCTATAAATTCCCAGTCTAAAAATTTGAGATGGTCAATTTTTGGGTTTTCTATTACTGAAATTTTATCTTTTGGACAACCAAGACTTAAACCCTCAACTCAAATAAAATAATATACAGGGGTACCTCGGTACAATCCTTAATTTGTTCCAGGACCTTGGACTTCACCAAACAGGATGTATCCAAAAATAATTTTCCCAAAAGAAAATAGGGGAATGTTAACCATTCCCATGAAAAAAATTCTTTTGCTATCGGCTATTAAAATTTTTTGGGGTTGTTTAAAATTTTTAAACATTGTTTAAATATAAAATTAATACTAAATACAAAAGAATTAGAGAAAAAAAATAAATTTAACCTCACTTTACTTTGCTGATTAGAGTGAGTGTATAGGATGTGCTGGAAGGGAGGAGGAATGTTATTTTTTGGGAAGGAGATTTCCCCTTCTTTTTCGTCTTTTCCCTTTTTGGCCCTGGTTGAAGTAAAAGGTTTCCCCTTTATCGTCAAAGAATTTTGCTTTGCCTTTCCTCAGGTGTTTCGGAAATGTGACATTGTCTGGGCATTCCCGACAAAGCTTTACGGCTTGTTTGGGGTTTTTGGGGTGTACTTCTCTGCAAAGTTTTTGACGTCCTTCACTTTGGCAAAGATTTCCTTGTTAAGAAGTAGCGGTTCCTTCCACCTTTTTTCCCAGCCTGAGGTGCTCCATCTTTGTCTTGTGCCTTTCCCCCTCAAGTTCCTGCAGCTCCTGTGGTTAGTCTTCCCCGTGCCCCTCCCCTCCCCCTCCCCCATCATCATTCAATCGAGACCCCCTGGCCAGCCCCGAGCAATTCCCTTTATATAGAACCCGCCTCAAGTCCTCAAAATCCTTTCAGCCATGCTTCTGGCCCCATTTCCTCCCAAACAGGTTCGTTTTTCTGTATGAAAAAATTCCCGCCAGGCTTTGCAAAGTTATGCAAAAGTGGACGTAAAATGATTTTCCCAAAAATCTCTCAGGGGGTTAATCTGTATCAGTGGTCATTCAAAACACCCCTTGGAATTGCTTTAGTTGGTTTCTTAAATCATGATGACCTGCTGATCCCCTGGGTGGGTTTAATCGTTCCTTTCTTGGTCATTCCTGCCAAGCTTCGTTTTGCCTTTTGCCTGATGGTATCGCTGGACACTGTTTTTTTGTTATCCAAAACAAAGCAATTTTTCAACTTTCTCTAATGTCCTGTTTTGTTTGGTAATTGATTCCCCCCCTTCACAACATTAGGATTTTAAAAACATTTGTTTTTCACATTTGTAGTACGTTTTTCTGGTACGGTATTTCAGCACCAAGTCTCGTACGCATGCACCCTTTATACTTTTCAAAAATCTCTTTCTTCACCTCCCTGGTGATCTAACCATTTTTCATTTCTTGGCTCTTTCGTTAACTTTCTTAGAATCATGGGTTTAAAGAAATTTAAAAAAAATTTATACGAAAAAAAAACAAAAAAAAAGTGAAAATTCGAGTTTTTCACGGGGTGCTCACTGAAGGGTAGCAAATGGGCATATGAGCGTTTGGGAGTTGTGGCTTTGTCTTGAGAAAGAGGTAAATAAGGGTAGTGTGCGGCATCATGACTCATTTTGACCATACAAGTTCTAGCAGCAAGTCATATTCCAAACAAAGGTGTATACCCCGCAAAATTTTCGCATCAAAAAGGACATTTCCAAGTTGGATTATTCCCAAAAGGGGGGTTACAGGGTACCCTGTATGGTAAATTCTCAATATAATGGACTAAATTTATGATGGGCCCCAGGGTCTTAAATGAGAAAATTAAAAAATTGCACTAAAAGAAATAAATTATTCTATGGTACACCTAAAAGGACTGTACACACAAAGTACAGTTGTTTTTTAAAATGCTGGGGACTCCACCAAAGGGAAAATGACCTGGGGAAAGAAAGCTTTACCCCTCATCCACATTGTCTTGCTAGGACACAGATGCGACACTTTCTGTCACTCCAAAAAGCAAAAAAACCAGATTTAAATTATACTTAAGAAAACATTTTAAAATAAAGGAGTTAAAATACAATTTAACCCGTGGAATTTCACCCTTATTTTAAAAGTGTGTTTAATGGGTCTATTTTTTGAAGAGCTCACTGTACTATTGTAAACCCCCTAACATAACACACCTCCTTTGTCTGTATTTCCTGGTATTTCCAGCTGCACTTCTGGTACAGACACAGTGGCATGCCCTGAACGTACCACCTGGCGACTCAAATCGTCTTCATTTTCCAAGTAGAGTTCGTAGCGTACTCCTTGCTCCTGCACCTGTCCTAGCTGAAAACCAGTGTTCTTGTTGCCACAGTAGTCACACTCGAAAGATGTCAGAATAACATCCTTGTAGTGAGGGATGCGGGTCATGAGTAAGCGAGTTGTGCCCTGTAAAATTATAAGACTTAGGATAGAAATGTTCACTCAATATTACTTTGTTATACACTAAATGCACAAAATGAATCGCGGCCGTGCAGTCGCACTTGGCCAGCTGACCTTGATTTTTGGGACTCCCTTTTTTGGGTCAAACCCCCCCCATTCCCCCAATTTGTTTGCAAAGTGTCATTCAATTTCAAAGTCCCACACAAACAAGATTAACATACTCTATAATGGGGATTCCTGAGCCCTTTAAAAATACATACCTTTTGTTTACAAGACATACAAAGACTGGGGACGACAGTTACGTGTGGTCGTCACTCTCCCAAGCTAAGTCCACGTATATAGGGTTTGTTCCCCATCGTGTCAAATTGTAACTGATTATATTTTAAATTTTGAAATGTGTAAGGTGCAGAGTGAAGCAATGAAGTTTTAGAGTTATTAGAGGGTTTTATAGAGTTTATAGGTTTATAGATTTTTAAAAGGTTATATAGAGTTTATAGTTTTATAGAGTTTTATGAGTTATTAGAGTTATATAGAGTTATTAAAGTTTTATAAATGAATAAAATGATGAAACAGCATAGGTGCTGGTGAAACCCTGAAGGGGGTAAGGTGACAAACCCAGGTACCACTTTCTGCTAGGTGAACTGTGAAGGTGTTAAAATGACTAAAAACCCCCGGTACTATTTCTGCTAGGGGAACCGTGACGGTGTAAAGTGCAACACCCCGGTACCTACTTCTGCAGGTGAAATGGCAGCTAGTGTAAGCGAATAGACTTATCCCCCTCTTAAGGATCGAAAAAAAACCTGATTACCGCATAGGGCTGCAAGCCCCTTTCTGGTTTAGCGCTTCCAACTCCCCTCCCCCCCCGAGTAAAAAGAAAGACGCAGCTGACACAACAAGTTATCAATTTCCCTTTTACAACCAAAAATAAGCGCTTAAACCCCAAGGGTCGCCCCTAAACAACACTTAACATTAAGGCTTTAAAAATTTAACCATGGGCTTTTTTAAGTAGCCAAAAAAATTTCTTTTGTTCCCGATGTTTGTGACTTTTACTCCCAAAAAAATAATTCCAAAATAAAAACATGTCAGACCCCCCCCACCCCCAAAAAATTAAACCCTAAAATTGCATATATTTCAGTATGTGAGGAATATTTTGAGGTTTTAAAAAGGAACAGACCACTCACCCCTCTCCCACACACTTATAACAAAAACCTTTTGTCTTTACAGACGTGGGCGACGTTATTTGAGGCCAGAAAGCTTTTAACACCTACAACACCTGCACGAAAACCTCTAGAAACTCCTCAGCTGGACCCTGGCGAGGCAGACTCCATCAATCCGGATTTAAATCCGACTTGAATCCGGATTCAGGTCGAATTTGGAACAGGATTCAAGGCGAATTTTTAATCCGGACTTGTTTTCGACTTCTATCCAGGTTTGTTTTCGACTTCCATCCGGGTTCGTTTTCGACTTCTATCCGGGTTCGTTTTCGACTTCTATCCGGGTTCGTTTTCGACTTCTATCCGGGTTCGTTTTCGACTTCTATCCAAGTTCGTTTTCGATTTTTATCCGAGTTCGTTTTCGACTTCTATCCGGGTTCGTTTTCGACTTCTATCCGGGTTCGTTTTCGACTTCTATCCGGGTTCGTTTTCGACTTCTATCCAGGTTCGTTTTCGACTTCTATCCATGTTCGTTTCCTACACCTATCCGGATTCGAATCCTTTTTAAATTTGGATTTGAATCCTACTTGTATCCAGATTCGTTCCCGATATTTTTTTTCGATTTGAATCCGACTTTTATCCGGACTCGATTCCTACTTCTATCTCGATTTAAATCCGACTTGAATCCGACTCCAATCCGGATTCAAACAGGACTTCAATCCGGATTTGAATCCAGGGGGAGGAAAAACCATAACAAAACCAGCTTCTCTATTAAATTTATTCTAATTAATTTCAGTCAATTTACTGAGGAACTGCCGAAAATGTACAAAAAATTTGATATTTTTCTCGACAGTCCAAATATTAAACAGACCAAAAATTAGTTGTTTAATGCTAGCATATTTTTTTTAATTATTATTATTAATATTATTATTATTATTATTATTATTATTATTATTATTATTATTATTATTATTATTATTATTATTATTATTATTATTATTATTATTATTATTATTATTATCATTATTATTATCATCCGATATGGAAGCACTGACGGGTATTTAAAGAACAGGAGTTTAAATAGCCACTGACAGGTGTTTAAATAACTACTGACAGGTATTTAAAGAGCCACTAACAGACCTTTAAAGAGCCAGTGACAAGCGTTTAAATAGCCACTGACAGGCGTTTAAAGAGCCAGGGTTGTGTATGTGTGTGTGTACTCACCTATTTGTACTCACCTATTTGTGGTTGCAGGGGTCGATTCATAGCTCCTGGCCCCGCCTCTTTGCTGATTGTTACTAGGTCCTCTCTCTCCCTGCTCCATGAGCTTTATCATACCTCGCCTTAAAACTATGTATGGTTCCCGCCTCCACTACGTCACTTTCTAGGCTATTCCACGGCCTGACTACTCTATGACTGAAGAAATACTTCCTAACATCCCTTTGATTCATCTGAGTCTTCAACTTCCAATTGTGACCTCTTGTGTCTGTGTCCCATCTCTGGAACATCCCGTCTTTGTCCACCTTGTCTATTCCGCGCAGTATTTTATATGTCGTTATCATGTCTCCCCTGACCCTCCTGTCCTCCAGTATCGTCAGGCCGATTTCCCTCAACCTCTCTTCGTAAGACATTCCCCGTAGCTCTGGGACTAGTCTTGTTGCAAACCTTTGCACTTTCTCTAATTTCTTGACGTGCTTGACTAGGTGTGGATTCCAAACTGGTGCTGCATACTCCAGTATGGGCCTGACGTAAGTGGTATACAGAGTCTTGAACGAATCCTTACTGAGGTATCGGAACGCTATCCGTAGGTTTGCCAGGCGCCCGTATGCTGCAGCAGTTATCTGATTGATGTGCGCCTCAGGAGATATGCTCGGTGTTATACTCACCCCCAGATCTTTTTCCTTGAGTGAGGTTTGCAGTCTTTGGCCATCTAAACTATATTGTGTCTGCGGTCTTCTTTGCCCTTCCCCAATCTTCATGACTTTGCATTTGGCAGGGTTAAACTCAAGGAGCCAGTTGCTAGACCAGGCTTGTAGCCTGTCCAGGTCTCTTTGTAGTCCTGTCTGATCCTCATCCGATTTGATTCTTCTCATTAACTTTGCATCATCTGCAAACAAGGACACTTCTGAGTCTATCCCTTCCGTTATGTCATTCACTTATACCAAGAACAGCACAGGTCCTAGGACTGACCCCTGTGGAACCCCGTAATGTAGGTGCCATAATTCGTGTACATATAGGATGTCTACCTGGAGTCTACCTGGAGTCTACCTGGGGTCTACTTGGTGTGTGTGTGTGTGTGTTTGTTTTACTCTTTGGGAATGGGAATTAAATAGTTTTAAGAGGCAAATGATGATAGCTCCAGTTCGTGGAATCAAGAACCCTTACAGGGTGGTTCAGACGCCCTGCTACAGGAGAGGTAATGGCGCTGTGGAGCTGAATCGATTATTGATCGTAATGTGCTAAGGGACGTGTGTACTCTCCTATTTGTACTCACCTACTTGGGGTTGTAGAATTCGATTCACAGCTCCTGGCCCTGCCTCTTCACTGGTGGTTACTAGGTCACTCTTTACCTACTCCATGAGCTTTATCAAACCTCTTCTTAAAGCTATGTATGGATCCTGCCTCCACTGCATCACTCACCAGATTGTTCCACTTCCTGACAACTCTATGGCTGAAGAAATACTTCCTAACATCCCTGTGACTCAACTGAGCCTTCATCTTAGAAATGTGACCCCTTGTTGCTGTGTCACATCTCTGAAACATCCTGTCTCTGTCCACCTTGTCAATTCCTCTCAGTATTTTGTATGTCGTTATCATGTCCCCACTATCCCTCCTGTCCTCCCGTGTCGTCAGGTTGAGTTCCCTTAACCTCTCCTCGTAGGACATGCCCCTTAGCTCCGGGGCTAGTCTTGTTACAAACCTTTGCAATTTCCCTAATTTCTTCACGTATTTGATCAAGTGTACTCACCTAGTTGTGGTTGCAGGGGTCGAATCACAGCTCCTGCCAACGCCTCTTCACCGACCGCTACTAGGTCCTTTCTCCACCTGCTCCATGAGCTTTATCATACCTCGTCTTAAAACTATGTATTGATCCTGTCTCCACTACGTGTGTGTGTGTGTGTGTGTGTGTGTGTGTGTATGTGTGTGTGTGTGTGTGTGTGTATGTGTGTGTGTGTGTGTGTGTGATGGTTGAGCTCTGTAACACAACACAACCAGTGTGCTTCTAGCAACTCTGACGGCAAGCATCTAGCACTAGTGCCCTGCTTTAACTAGTCTATACACCTTTGTAACAGGTAAGTAACAAAGTTTATTCAGACACAGGTGCACATAAGTACAAGCATCATACATAGTGTAAATCACCCACCAGGAAAACTCAAAAATGTCACCAAAATGTCTTATTACCTCTGGAGTCCTTGGAGGTCCTTCATACTACAATGATCAAGCACAGAAGGGAATTTTAGTTTAAATAACCTATACCGCCATGACCCTTCAAGAAGGGTACCTTGATGCCTCCCTGAGGCTCTTGATCCAAGAGCTTCATTACTGACCATTGTCAAGGAGAGCTGTAATGTAGATGCCATAATTCGTGTACATATAGGATGTCTACCTGGAGTCTACCTGGAGTCTACCTGGGGTCTACCTGGGGTCTACCTGGAGGTTATTCCGGGGATCAAAACCCCCGCCGCCCGGTCCACGACCAGGCCTCCAGGTGGATCAGGGCTTCATCAACCAGACTGTTACTGCTGGCCACACGTAATCCAACGTACGAACCAGATACCAGCTGATGTTTCAAATAGATGGGTCCATTATTTAGAAACACCCATAGTTCCAGAGGCGGAGTCGGGAGCTGTGCCTCGACCCCCTGCA